CTATAAATATTTATGAAGTGAAATGCTTTTTTGCTCATGAATAGTTCTTTTGCTTAGCGTGTTTTCCCGAGTTTTATCAACATAAATGGATAATGTTGGGCAATTTTCTTTTGGTTGGTATATTTGACTATTTTGAGGGGGGAAAATACCCAGAATTTTCCAAATCAGTACAGTCAGGAGCAAAATATACCATAAACATATTCACTGGGATATCTTCCAAAAAATTGCTCTCAATACTTAAGTGCCAAAATGAAGAAAAAAAAAAAAAAAATTTAGTAACCAATTAAGTGGACAGTAAAAGATGGGCAAGGCCCGGAGGGGAGAGGAGAGCAAAGGAGACGGCCACGGCTCATCCCGGGGTGGCTCCAGGAGGGCTCCAGGAGGGCTCCGTGCCACAGCCGGGACTCGTCGTACCAAACCCCAGCGGGAGCGAGCGCAGAGGGGCTGGGAACTGAGCGAAAACCCTCATGTCGAAATTAAGGAGCACGTTTGCGCAGATTTCCTGTCTGTGCATTTGTCAGAAACAGCTTTGAAAAGATTCTTTCGGCCACTTTTTTCTTTCCTATGTACATATCTTTTTACATATAAATATTAACACATACACAAGCGTAATCCCTTATTTACACATGTCCCTGTCCTGTACAGTTAGCTTTTTAATTAAAAAACTCCATGACTAAGAAACTCTAATTAATGGGAAAAGGGAACTGAAATTCGGGACACAGACCCACACCGTGCAAGAGCGTGGCGGGAGCGCGGGGCTGGTTCCCAGCCCCCCGCAGCCCCCGGGCTCGGCCCCGTCGCCCCCAGAGCCGCCGCCTCGGGCCTCTCCCTTAAGGCGTTTTCAGAGATGCCAGCATCCACATTCCTGCAGATTTCCAGCCGTTCAGTAATGCCCCAGACTGCAGGCAGCTACCTCCACGATTGTTCCCAGTTCTTCCAAGTAAATAAAATACTTTAAGACACTAAGTATTCAAGCAGAACTCAAAATGGACACGTTTTACGCGTGAAATGCAGAAGTAAAAATGTCGCTCGTCGACGCAACGCCAGCATTGGTATCTGTGTCTGGTAGAATTGGAATTTTTTTCAAATTACTTTTGTAATATAATCCTATGCTGATATCAGTATCCATAACCTTTGACTTAAAATGTCACATTACTCCAGTACAAATAGAACACTTTTGTTTCCTTACATTTTCGCAGCTTAGCTCCCTTTGCTGTTCACACTGTCCGCTTTAAAACAGATCACTGATGTACAAGTATCCGGGGAGTTTTTACAACTTCCGTATCAAGGGATTTTCTTCGTAGCTTTATAAACTCCACACAAGTTTTGGAAGCGGTGCAGGTACCTGCAGAGTAAAATAAATATGAGGATTAACCACACTGGACTTCCCTCTCCAACACGTGATTTGTAGTCCCAAGCACTGCAACGTTCCCATTTCATGGGGTTTGCCAGACTGTCTTAAGTAGCTCTTAATTAAGTCTACAGTCGGAGTAGGCTTATCCAATTGCTGCTTTTTCTCTGGGAAAAAAAAAAAAAAAGCTTTATTAAATGTTAGATGTACAATTTTCTGCAGGCTGTACCATACATTATTTTTCTTAAGCGATACTCCCCTAATAGTTCTCAGGTAAGGCTCAGAACACAAGGATGATGACGATGAGTTTAAAACTTGCCCCATCTAGCTTGTCACAACTTCTGAGGCGCCTCCCCAGCGCCCACATCCCTCCCCGGGGTGTCCTGTGGGGCGAGTGGCCTCGGGGACGTCCCAGTGGCGTGCTGGGACGCTGCCAGTGCTGCAGGCGAGCCCGTAAACACCCACCAGATGGGCTGTGTGAGAATTATTATTTCCACGGAGGGGCACAGGTCATTCCCCTACCAGAAACTAAAGGAAGGAAAGGCTGAGACAAGCCCAGCGAAATTTCTGAGCTGACAAGGAGCTGGTGGGGGCTGGCCAAGGGCGGCGTCCCAGCCTGGGCAGGACACTGGGAGCTGCTGAGCTGCGCTGCCAGGCGCGGGCACGGCCTTGACCGCGCAGCAGCCTGAGCGCCTCCAGAGACGGGGCGTCCCTGCGGAGAGCTCTGGCCAGTAGAAGGGACGGGGAAGGGAGCTGTGTCTCTGAGAGGACACGTTAATAACCCGCAAAGCCCAGTTCCACCCAGTTCCACCGGTTCAGATGAGGAGAGGAGCCCCAGAAGCACCTCACGCCCTGAGGTGGGAAGGGTGGTGCCCTGGGGCTGGCCCAGCCCTTCTTGCCTCCGTTCTTGGGCCGTTCCTCCCCGGTTTCTGTTTTACACTGTTACCAGACCAGCATCGGGCAGAAGGGGAATTTCTAGGGCGATCACACGGAAAGCAGAATAGCTCAGCTGATGAATCGAAAGGAAGAGGAGCCTGTGCCTTACCCCTTCTCCCCCCAAACCTCCTGGCCCTCTTGCACTGTGTGGGGAATGGATTAACCCTTCCCAGCCCGCCCGGCTCAGCCTGCAGGTCAGAAAATCCCAGAGTCACCTCAGCTGGAAAAGCCCTTGGAGCTCCTCCAGTCCCACCATGAGCCTCCCCCTGACCCTTCCCAACTCCCCCAGATCCCTCAGCGCTGGCTCAGCCCGACTCTTCAACCCCTCCAGGGATCCCGGGGACTCCCCCCTGCCCTGGGCAGCCCATTCCAACGCCCAACAGCCCCTTCTGCACAGAAATCCTTCCTCAGAGCCAGCCTGACCCTGCCCTGGGCAGCTTGAGGCCATTCCCTCGGGGCCTGGCGCTGGCTCCTTGGCTCCAGAGACTCATCCCCCCTCTCTGCCCCCTCCTGGCAGGGAGTTGCCGAGGGCCAGGAGGTCTCCCCTCAGCCTC